AAATTTTAAATATTAAATTTTAAATTTTAAATTTTAAATTTTAAATTTTAAATTTTAAATTTTAAATTTTAAATTTTAAATTTTAAATTTTAAATTTTAAATTTTAAATTTTAACTTTTAAATTTTAAATTTTAAATTTTAAATTTTAAATTTTAAATTTTAAATTTTAAATTTTAGATTTTAAATTTTAAATTATAAATTTTAAATTTTAGATTTTAGATTTTAAATTTTAAATTTTAAATTTTAAATTTTAAATTTTAGATTTTAAATTTTAAATTTTAAATTTTAAATTTTAGATTTTAAATTTTAAATTTTAAATTTTAAATTTTAGATTTTAAATTTTAAATTTTAAATTTTAAATTTTAAATTTTAAATTTTAGATTTTAAATTTTAAATTTTAAATTTTAAATTTTAAATTTTAAATTTTAGATTTTAAATTTTAAATTTTAAATTTTAGATTTTAAATTTTAAATTTTTAATTTTAAATTTTAAATTGTAAATTTTAGATTTTAAATTTTAAATTTTAAACTTTTAATTTTAAATTTTAAATTTTAAGATTTCAATTTTAAATTTTAAATTTTAAGATTTCAATTTTAGAATTTAAAACTCAAATCTTTAAATATAGAATCTAGAATTTAAAATTTAAACTCTAAATTTAAAACTTAAAATTATAAACTACTAAAAATTACGAACTAAAAGTTTAAAATTTAAAATTAAAATTATAAATCCTAAAATTTTAAACTTAAAATTATGAATCTAGAATTTTAAACTTAAAATTATAAACTACTAAAAATTACGAACTAAAAGTTTAAAATTTAAAATTAAAATTATAAATCCTAAAATTTTAAACTTTAAATTTAAAGTTTAAAAACAGAAAATTAAAACAAAAAAATTATAATTTAGACATTGACATTTAAATTTTAAAAAATTTTAAATAAAATAAATAATGAATAAAATTTAAAAAATTAAAAAAAATCAAAATCAAAATTTTAAAATGTGGAATTTAAAATGGAAAACCAAAATCTAAAATTAAAAATTAAAATTTAAAATTTATTATTCTATTTTTGATACTAGGTCCATCCCAAATTAAATTATATGGTTACTATTTACTAAATCAAACTTCATTTGCTTTCTTTAGTCATTTGAAAAAATAATATAGTCATGTCACCTTTGATTTGTAGATCTTTTGATGTATATTTCAGAAATGTAATTTTTATTTTTTAATTCTACACTTTTTTCATATAAAATAATTTGAAAATAATATCAATTAAACATCGTAAACCGAAACAAGCGATTTAAATTTGGACGAAGGGAATACAATTTTGAAAGGCTAAAATAATATTCTATATCAATTCTATATACAATTTTGTGTTACCAAACAAAAAATTTAGTCTTTTTATTTTTTATTTTAAATTTTAGTTTTTATTTTTAAATTTAAAATTTTAAATGTTTAGTTTTTTTATTAGACTAATTTTTTTGTTGTTCATTTTAAATAGAAAGGATCTGCGTGTTTTGATTTTGACCCGTAGAATTCAAATATTAGATTCTCAATTCTTTGCATGTGCTATGGGATTCAAAATGTGAAATTGCAATTAAATTCCAATTCCATATATTTTTGTGCTTTCAAACAACAAAATTAGAAATGAAGTCTTCAGTTCCAATTTCATGCTTGAATTCTGTGTACCAAACGGAAATATGGACTTTGAAAACAATTGGAAAAGCAAACACATGATAAAATGTTAGCTTTTAAGGTTCTAATACAAAAGGCCAAAACAGTTTGAATATCTTGAATAAAGATTTATGAGTCGTTGAAGAAGCTTTGTAACACAATAGAACACACCAAGGAATTTTGTTAACTTTAGTACCCAAGCCCATAGTTAACTTGGCACTTCTTCAATGGTGGCGGCAATCATAATATCATCCGAGGAGCGTTTTTCCTCCTCCTTGACAATGTCATGTGGTTCTTTCTCCTTCTCCATCTCTTTTCTCAACCTTCTGATATCCGCATCCTTTTCTTCCAGCTTCTCTTGCAATATAAATACCTGCAACCGAATATGTCTTAAATATATGAATAAACAAATAAAGTGTGAACCTAGCAGTGAATGTAGCATAGCCGTAATTGCACAAAATTTACTAATTCTTTCATTCATAACCCAAACATAGCCGTAATTGCACAAAAGGAATGAATGTACCATATCAGTTAAGCAATCCATTATTATTAATTACTGAACAGTGAGGGCGCGTTTGCCAAATAGTGGAAAGCTAATAAAACTTTTGCCAACTCCCCAACTCATTTACCCACTTCCCAAGAGTAAGGGAACTTTGGACACTTGCCACTTATTTTCATCTTGGTACAGGTGCTAAAAAGAAACCAAACATAGTGTTGGACAAATGTGAAAAGATAATTATCAATAACATTTGAATAACACTCCGTAATAATTATTACAATTATTATAATATAAAGGAGCATAATGTTTACGATCACAGCTTATCATTGGTAATAAAAACAATCATAACATGCTCTTGCATCCTTGTCTTGTATGTAAAAACAAGCTCCAAAATGACAAGTACCAAATTGCTTTTGACATGCTTGAGAAATACAACTGTGTTTGAGAATAGTTCAGAAAAGAAATATAAATATGTAAACAACTAATTTCAATAAGTCAAAGAAAACGGAATAAAATCTAAACTAAAAACCCAACTAGTGCAGAACAATCACCTAATAATTGTAAAACAGGGTGCTTGTCATTTGGAGGGCTCTTTTTTTTACATAGAACCAACGATAAAAGAGTTTCTTAAACAGTAACACATAACAACTCAAATAAAAAAATCCCAACTCTGTTTGGGTCCGGGGGATCACGTTGTACAGTCTTACCCCAAGAGAAACAATGTTTGTTTCCGTTAGACCCTAGATGCAGTGCTGCATTTACTACCCAAATTATCAAAGAAAGTAAGAATCAAGGGAAGTTTAATGCTTCATTTTGATTTACTCCATTTTGTGTGTTAAACTAAAAGATTGTCAATAATAACTCTTTTAGCTCCATTGGCAATGGACGGAAACATTGAGAAACAAAAATCATAAATGTAAGCCAATCATTTAAAACACTAATTACAACTTATCAGAACTATAGAAAAAGAGGAATTACCATTTCATTAGATATTTCAACATCATTAGTCAGTCCCTCTATTTGCTTGCACAACCCTGCATCAATAATCGAAGACAGCAAATTATCATCACAATATTCAAAATACAAATCAGAAAGCGCTCATGTTGGATAAGAAAAGAATACTACTAGTGAGAAGCAAGTAATAAGCAAACAATTATGATTACGGAATACAAACTCCATGCAAAAGCAAACAGTTACTCCCAAGCAAAAGCAAACAATTATGATTACCGAATACAAACTCCCGTTTTGACTTTACCAAAGTCTAAGAAAGGTGAAAATGTGTTGTTGAAATTTCAGCAGAGGTAGAATGAATGTGAACCCATAGATTTCTTTCTTTAAAAGGAAATGGGAAGACTATATAAGGAAAGAGGGACCATTAAAGTGTTGTCTGGTACAAAACATCCAAGGTCAGTGACTCCCCTCCACCCACCTGCTGGTTCTACCTAATGTCAGAATGCAATTGACCTCTTAAAGCTATACATATTATTATTCTACTATTTTTGATTTTATGATAATACTCAGATTTAAAATTGCCATCGCTACTCCTTGAAATTAAAACATTTTACATCATCAATGTCACTGGACAGCAAAACTTCTTCCATTTTGGAGAGTAAAGACTGATTCAAAATGTAAACTTAAGTTCAATAGACTACTTGAATTGTTGCTACATCTGGAGCCCTTATACCTGTAAAAGAGAAATCTTGCAACTCTATTACTACTCAGAAAATTGTAGAAAAATACAAACCTTCCAAATGACTTCTAAGTTCTGCGTTCTGTGACTTTTGCAATGCTAGTTTCATTGCCATGTCATGCATCTGCAATCAAAGACAATGGAATATCATAAATAGAAAAGCAACAATGCATGTCCAAATTAGGATAACATCCATACTGAATTTTGAAGAATCAAACGCTTACAAAATGTCTGATTAGCAATTGGCCAAACACCACCCTTAAACTAAAGCATGTTCGTTGATGCACTCTTTGGAGCGACAAACAAAGTTAAATTTTTCAAAAATCTAAGAATGCTTTCTGAATTACTCCATCCTTTCTCTTTTAACAGTCTATTTCGATTTTCCATGTACTTCGACAGTCAATAATCAATATACAAAAATATACAATGAAATAAAATAAAAAATTACACCATAAAACTTGTATTAAACATAATTTTAATATGTTATTGCTTTTAATACCATTTTGGTAATATATTTTTAGAGATATGGTTGGTCAAATTTGTAACACAGAAAGTTAAAAAAGAATGGAGGGCGTAGCTGATTAAACATTCATAAAAAAGTATGGAGTAACTAGGACCATACAACACAAAGACAACCGAGTTTTTTTATCAAAAGCGCTTTTATTAAATAAAACAAAGCCAAATGTGGATGGAAAAAACCTCCAACTCACCAAAAGACATAAGTCCAAACAGAAATAAAAAATAAATAAAGGAATACATAGTACGACAACCGAGTTGAATCCCGCAAAAGTAGGGTCGGTGTGCAACACAAGGACTTCCCATGGGATCACCCATCCATGTAAGTGTGATCATAATTTTTTTAATTAAATACATTTGTAAATGTCATTTTATTAATGTTATAAATTTTCTAGTACATCTACACACATCAATTACTGCTAAAAGTAAATTCTAAAAATTTGTTAATAAAATAAAATGTTTTAAAGTATTTGAAAGAAAAAGTAAAAGTTGTTAAAAGGAAATATTGATATTATATCAATAACATTTGAAGAACAATGGCTTTGTTAATGAGAGCTAAGGGCTACTTTTAAGGGGAAAATGGAGCAATTCCATTTGTTGGTGCTCGATAAAAATCAGCACAAGGTTCACAAGGGAGGTGAGGTGTTTTCTCAACCAATGGAAAGCTTTGAACTTACGCCTTAAAGACAACCTTTACAGTCATTAGCACTTTCCTAACAACAACAACAAGCCTAGTATATCTCAACTCTCTTGTGGTCATGATGTATACAACCTTTACCCAAGAGGCTATTTCTCCTAGGTTCTTTTGGTTTTACTACCCATAAATCATAGAAAGTAAACCAAAGAAAGGTTAATATGACAATTTGATTTAGTCCACTATTTACATGAAACTATATAACAATAACAACCCAGTTTGAGCCCAAAAGAGTAGGGTCGGGGGGAATGACTCTATTAGCTCCACTGGCAATGGATATAATACTAGTAAACCTTCCATCCTGAAATTATCTTCCTACTTTTCTTTTCAGGTCGTCTTAAAATTATCTTCTCACTTAAACGATAAAGTATATGTTCAATGTCGCTTTTGCCCTTACACAGTTATTACTCCCATCTGTTTCATTTAGAGTTATTATTCCCATCTGTTTCATTTACTCCAACCAGCCCTTGTTTACTCCCCATCCCTTCACCTACCACCACTTATTATGTCTTCTGTTTTTCTGCCATCTCATCTTCTTCCTTCCTACTCTCTCTTTGCATCTCATCTTCTCCCTTCCACTTTCAACCCATAGATTCGCTCTCACCCACCCCGTCTTTAAATCTTCTTTCTACTTCATTACCAACTTCACCTTTTTCGTGCAAGACATCTGAACCCTAGATAAGCTCTCCTCAAAATCCTATATCTGATCCACTTGCAGTTTTAATAGTCCTTGACTCCTTGTGTGATGACGACAACTACACGACGACAACTACACACAGTTAATGATTCAGTTTTGAGGTGCAGAGCTGTGGGGTCAGGTCTGAGACAAAGATGATAAAGAAATGGTTGTTGCGGACAAGGAGCTCGATTTTGGTGTCTTTGTCAGCGGCTGCATCTCTGTTGTGTCTTTGTTGTCTGTGGTTGTGTTGGAAAACTACGAACGTTTACTTTGTAATTGTGTCGGCCTGTAAATTGTGTATTGGAGTACTTTGTACATTGATGTGGTTTTGATTTTTTGTTTGTAAGAGCATTCTAAGAAAGTCAAAGACAATTTAACAGTTTCTTTAAAAGCGTCCCAAATCAACTTGGGAAGAAGATTATAGGACAAAGGAAGTAATAATTATTATTGCCCAACAAGAACAAAAATATATAAAGGAGCATAAAATTAAAGATCATTGCTTATCACTGGTCATAGAAACAATAATGACATGCTCATGCAACTTTGTCATGTATTCCCTCAATCCCAGCAAAAAGTTCTACATTCCCTTTTTGTTTGTCCCAAAAAAGGTTCGAAAGAATTATGTGGCTCACACAATTTCTTTTTCCTCTGCACAGAATTCAACAACTTGTTCACCTTTATTAATTGTGTCCGGTCAATTGCGAAACCTTATTTCGGGATGGAGGGAGTATGTAATTACAAGTCCCAAAATGATAAATACGCAATTGCTTTTGGCATGCTTATTTTATAAAATAAATTTGTTTTTGGGAATTTTTTAGGAAGAATATATAAACTTACTTCATAGAACCAAAGCAAATATATACAATTAATTTGAAACAACTAAAAAACACCTACTGTAATTTGTAAAGCAATGCATCAATGTTAAAGAACAAGGGATGCCCAAAATTTCAATCAATAAGCTACACTTTATATTTTATACCCACTTCAACCCAAAGATGTGGTCAAAAGCATTGCCAATTATGTTTGAATTTCGGAACCATTTGTTCTCCTATTGGGAAGAAAGAAGAAAGCATTATACACATTATTGTCAATACCTTTCCTTCATTAGCTTGATTACCGATCTCCTCATTCTCCTCTTGTAGAGTCCTGCACTTAGCCATTAACAACTTCCCATTCTTGCTTTGCGGGGTAAAATTTACCGCAGCAATATTGTCTTGCAACTCCTTGACCTTTTTATCCTTCTCATCTACCAAATTCTGCGTAAGATTGGAAAGAAGTTACATGCTACAAAAACATTTTTAAAAAAATCGCACATGAAGGACAAGCGTTTTAGTGTTTACAAGATGAACAACAATTATAGCCACGCCAACAAAACTCAATGTATTCCCAGCTCAGTGTATTTCAAGTACTTTTATTCTTATAAATTTCATTCATTTATTTTATTATTATTATTACTACTACTACTTATGCTATTTTTATTACTATTATTATTATTACCATTATTACTACTATTACTATTATTACTATGGAGTAATATTTATTCCTTTATATATTTTTTTTTATTTTTTTATTTTTATTATTATTTTATTTATTATTTAATACTTTTGTTCATTTTTTTGTTTTTGTTATTTTTTTTATTTTTTTTATTATTTTATTACTCCCTCCGTCCGGAAATGATCTTCCCATTTCACTTTTCTTGGTCGAAGTTTGTAAACTTTGACTCTGATATGTGAAAAAAATACAATGTATTATGATATAAAATTAATATCAATGTATTCCTATTGAAACGTAGTTTTGAAATATCAAATTTTTATTTTATATATATATATATACATATATATACATATATATGTATGTATGTATGTATATATATATGTATATACTCCCTCCTTCCACTATTAAAGTTCCAGGTTTGACCGGGCACGCACTTTAAGAAAATGTAAAAATTTCCTTGACTTTCCCAAAATACCCTCCACCCTACCCCACTTTCCCACCCATTTCTATCCTGCCCAAATGACTGCCCCCAACCCAACCGGCCAGAACAAATTTCCGGCGACTGATCAAATTTCAGGCCAGAGAAGATCCTTCCTCGCCTCCGATCTCCATACAGATCTGAATCGGATTTCTCAGATCTGATAGATATATGAGCAATTGAATCGAAAAGAGGAAAAGAAATAAGAAGAGATGAAAATGGAGTGTGGCTGGACCAAATCCGAAGGGTGGAGGTGAGATGAAAAGAAAGAAGAAGAAGAAGAAGAAGAAGAAGAGAGGAAGGAGGAGGAAAAAAAGGTCGAGGAATCGGAAGAGGGGGGGAGAAGAAAAGAGGGAGGAAGAAGAAGGAAATAAGAACAAGAAGAAAAAAGAGGAGAGAAGGAAAATCGGAAGAAGGAAGAAAAAAGAAAAAGAAGAGAGAAGAAAAATCGGAAGAAGGAAGAAAAAGGAGAGAAGGAATTGGAAGTTTCTGGAGAAGAAGAGAAGAGAGGACAAGAAAAGGAAAGGAGAAGAAAGAGAAAGGGAGGGGGGCTGCCGCAGGAAGGAACAAGAAAAAAAGAAATAGAAAGGGTATTTAGGTCATTTTAATAAAGAAAACATACTAAAAAAGGAAATGGGAACATTATTTATGGACGGACCAAAAAGGAAAGTGGGAACTTTAATTATGGACGGAGGGAGTATACAACAACAACAACAACAACCCAGTTGAATCCCACAACAGTAGGGTCTGGGGAGGGTGTGTGTACGCAGACCTTGCCCCTACTCGGAAGTAGGGAGGCTGTTTCCAAGAGACCCCCGGCTCCACCTGCACAAAAATATGGAAGAGAACACAGTATAGCACAGATAAGGCACCAAGTACAAGCAACAAGTACAAACAATAGCAAAAGATTCCCAACAAATACAACACACTACAAAACAACCTCTACAACACCGAGCT